CTTGCCTTTCTCCTCTGCTCTGTCCCACGTCGAATATCAGTGAACACACACGCGCGCGCGCGAGCGCACACACACAAACTGAAGAAAAACTTCAAAAAACATCAAGTTGAGCTCAGACGACGCTCCCCCTCCACCTCGCAGTCTCAACTCCTCCTCTGCTGAAGTTGTAGTGTGTGTGCATGCATGTGTATGTGTTATTGAAGTACATATGTGTGTTTGAAATGCTACAGCCAGCGATTTTGCACGCCACAAACGGAGAGATCTCCTCGCTCAGCGCTCCCTCCACCCCAACATCTGTCACTTTGATTGTGGGCACTTTGCAGGACGCTCTGCCTCAACAGGTCTGGAGCCTCCCCCACAGCCTGTTGCCCTCAGTCGACTTCGACACTGCCTCTTGGAGAAAGACACGATCCCTCCCCGTGCTGGGACGGGAGAGGACAGTGGGACAGCCCCCCATGGGAGAAATGACAGTGCGGTTCCCGTTAATCTCCGGGACGAGCACTGAAATGGCGGCAGGGGCCCGCCGCAAACGCTAACCGTGGCCGACACACTGCAAACACACACACACACTCCCAGTCCTCCCCGAATGCTTCAGTGAAAACGGGCAGTTCGAGATGAGCCTGACAAGGTTTCGTTCTGTTTTTGCTGTGAAAGAGAAAAAAAAAATCTTCCCTTCCCTGAAAAGCGCAGGATGATGAGTACATATGTTGATTTTCAGGCTGTGAGCCATGTACCACCACTGTGTCTTCCCATCAGGCCTTGGGACAGAGTGACAGCAGGATAGTGTCACGCAACACAGTGACTTGTAAAGTGCCACTGCATAAAGGCCTTGAGTGTGTTTGTTTGAGCCTTTACCTTCCTGCTGCACTCCATTCTTCATGGTTTAACTGTCTACTTTTTCTTCTATTTTTGGCTTTTATCCCCCCCCCCACCTCTTCTCCATGGCGGACAGCTCGGAAGAATCCCGCCTCCAGTAGGCAGAGGGACAAGAAAGTGGTGGTGCTGGGATGAAGGACAGCTGGGACTGAGAGAGAGGGGGGGGGGGGGGGGGGGGGGGGATAGCCTAAATGAAATAAGAAACTGGATATGGAGAGAGAGAAGGGCAGAATCAGGTAGGTGGGTTGCTGGGCAGCAGGTCCTCTCTTACCACCCCTGCACCATCACCTCCCCTCCGGCTCAGAGGCCTTGGCATCCAGTGAATAACACCCCCCTCCTCCTCCTCCTTCCCATTCCCCCCTTTCGCATCACCACCCCCCACCTGTTCAGAGCCACGGTGCAGAGAGTGGCGCTGTGAACACAAAGCAGCGGCCCTGCGGCCCTACGCCTGGACCTCGGTGTCAAGACCCAGCCGAGCCAAGTGAGAGAGAGAGAGAGAGAGAGAGAGAGAGAGCAGCAAAATGCAGAATAATTATACCCAGTGGGTAAATCGAGCACCGTCGTTACAGGGGCGGTGTGGTCAGGCCGGGGAGGAGAGAGGCACGGAGGCAAGAGCGTCACCGGGGCGATCTCAGGGCCAGTGGGCATGTTTGGTAAAGCACACTCCCAGACCTCCCACTGCACTGCTGAAGCACCGTTTGTTGGAAGTGCTGCAGGAGATCATCTGGATACTGGCGAGCATGGGCACACAAGGGGTGGGGGGTGAAACACTGCTGCTTTGGTCCTGCATACTGTGCACAGATCATATGTGGAGGTGTTGTAAAAAAAAAAAAAAACATTGGCGGAAAGATTGTGTCTCAAATGACAAGGAAAATAGATACAGATTGTGTTCACTGTGCTCAGGTACATATCTAACTCACAATGACAAGCGGATGGATAATTCAAAGAGACTCTGTCACAGGAAATGCATTTTTAATGTGCATTAGTAAATGATTACATGCGTTTATACGACACTGTTAAAGTATTTGGGTCAAGAGGGAAAATCTGAACAATTCACGATCACATCATAAATATTTTCCAACCAAACAATCAAATAGTATGACTGAAATCTCATTTGCAGAGCTTCTACTTAAATTATAGTATTTACATAGGCCTAACTATTTGTCTAAACTACCTGACAATAAATCAAATAGTCATTAGTAATTCTCTATAATAAACTATTATTATTAACAGAATTCAAATGATTTTATCTATTGTGGACAGTTTATAATCAAATATTATTGAATTAAGCGATCGCACATTTACCATGAATAAGCTTCACTTCTCTGTTATAACTTTGAGCGTTGTCTTTGCTTCTTTTTTTAGCAAAATTTTTGGAGCATGCCCCGGAAAAGGCTGTGTGTTTTGTGCAGGGGTGTCAAACAAAAAAGCAGAATTCACTTAATGGACCTGTGGGACAGAAATACAGAGAAACACATGATCCGCTCTCATGCAACGAGCTCTCGCATGCAAACTGCAGCCCAGCGTCACAACGCTTGCAGATAATGATGCAGAAGGACAGATGTTTCCTCGTTATGTTGATATTGGCCAGGCCCTCCGAATTCTTTAATGCTGTGGAAATCTAAACTTTGGATAAGTTTTTGAGTAGTGGAGGTCTGAGCTGCTTTTTCTCCCTCCTCAAAATGTGACTATGTAAAGCCTTTAAAATGCATGCTTCCCAACCCCCAAGTTAAACAGCATTTAAATGTTTATTACATTTCAAAATAATACATATGATAATTGATTTAAGTTCCCATTTTGTAGAGAAGAATGCTTTTCAGAACTCCAAATATAAATCATTATGCTAACATTATATTTTTGTCTGTTATTATTGGTATACAAACCAGATTTATTTTCTTATCTTTTTTTATTATTTAGTTATTTGTAAAAAAAATAATAAAAAAACGATCTACAATATATAAATATATATGTATATACTTATATATATAAAATACAGTAAGTATAAAATAATTCATGACATTTTTTTAACATCTTCTCTTCTTTATTATTGTAAAGTACAAATTAGATTTTGATTTTCTGCTATGCTTTAAATATGGTAATGAATGCTGCATTTAACCAGACCCTCTACTGTTCTTCGAGTTGATCTTAATGTTTTTAATTTCACCCTGCAGAGTCATAAATAAACAAAACAACACATTCCTGTCACAGAACGCCTCTGCTGGATCCGACATGTTTTGTTGTCAGAGATCCTCTCATGCTCCCTCAGACTCAACATGAGGCTGCAGTGGAGGTTGTTTTTTGTTTTTTTTATATCCCTTGGCTGTTGATCAATCATTTAATCTCTTTAATAGGCCCAAATCAAAACTAATGGTGCATGTAATCAGTGTTTAACTAAGCAATGTGGACAGTGGGGGACTTAAGTGGTGCCTTAATGATTTTCTCCTGACTGAGCATGACAGTCCTAATGAATTTAGGGCTCACAAATAAACTTTTGACAACTAATATGCAATATTTGCCCAAAACAATGCCTCTTCTCACCCTGAGTGAATATCTACATGTACTTTACTCTTGCCACAAGTGCTGTGTTTATTAATACATTTATGCCAATATATTTGCATTCCATAAAGTGTAATAAAGGCACTTTCTAAATCCAAGATAATTCAGTCACAAGGGGCTTTTACCAGGCCTGGATTATAAAAGCTAATGTGAGAGATTTGGTGCCATCTTGTGGTCCCAATGCAGACACTGGGAGGTCAGCAAAAAGGGAACTTCTCTACAAAGATCATATTTTGTTCTCTGATTAATATAGAGGTAAGATTTTTCATACATCTTAGTATATTTATCTCCTACAAACAATAATTAATTTATTATTCTCAATGGGACTAATAGGTGTGATTGATTTTCAGTAATCTGCGACTGTTATAAAAGGGTTTCATTATTGCTTTCCTAAATAATCTTTAGCAGCAGGATATCATTTAAAACTCATAGCAAAGAACAGAATGTTACTGTGCACTCTATATGATAAGGTCACTAAACATTAAATATTACTCAACATTTGGTAATCAACTATTGATGCTCTAGCCCCTGTGTAAAGATTAATTTAATCATTATTGTACAACTATAAGGTGCCAATTTTTAATAAGGCAGCTTTTATTAAGGGTGTAACAAATTACTTTATTATTGGTTAATAAATCATGAATTAATGCATTATATATTAGTTATAAGACATTAATAATAGCCACTTTTGGGTTGTCATGTTGTGAAAAATCCCTCTGGCTTGTGTTTATCCTTTTTTCTTTTTGGTGATAAAGCAGTTATATTAAGTGTAGGAAACACATTATATAAATACTTGTGAGTGTTACACTTTCTAATTGGCCATCAAGTCCAGATGTATACATGTCAAACGTTGTTAATATAATGGAATTTGGATCAGATACTCCCCAGAAGGTATGTGTGGTCCACCTAATGAGCAAAGGTTACTGCTGGAGAAGGATAAACAGCTACAGGGATGTTTCACAACCTGGCAACCTCAAAGTTATTAGTATTAATAGATTATAATTACTGTGTAAAGCATAAGTAAATGAGTTCTTTGCCGCAAAGTGTAAAGCCATTAGTTGAAATGTATAAAACCCACTTATTAAGGGTGAATTATTACAAGGGAGAACCAGGGTTTAAATAAACTAGTTGGAAAGACTCCAAAAAGACATAAGACTCGAATTGGATTGTAAGCCACATTTATTATTATTATTATTATTATTATTGTTGTTGTTGTTGTTGTATGTTTTTTGAACAAATAATGAGTGTAAATGAGTTTTAAAAGCTACTTTGCTCCACCACAGAGCAAGACTGACATCTGCTGTCCACATACACGCAGAACCTCAGTCTACACCACAGACTATAGGTCCACAGTACTGTCGCTCATTCTGTCTCACACAGACATTAAAAAGCTACACAGTACAGAGTACGTCACTGTAGCCTGCCTCAGAAGATACGTCAGAATGTTATATTTCCCGTGGACTGGTTAAAAAAAGATCAAACCGCGAGTGGACCGCGTACTAAGCTGAATGTGACACCCCTCTTTCAGCCGCTTGGTTCAGCCCACGGCCTAGAACCCGGAAGTAGTAGTAAATATTTACACTGCAGTCAGCTGACTTCCATTCACCTGACCACAGTTAGAGAAAGATCATTGCATTTTGTTCGTGTTGTAGCTGATCTGTATTACTATAGAAATAACGTGTGGGCCAGTTAATGACCGGTGGTTTAGTTGTGCTAACTTAGCTCTTTCGCTGCCTGCTAGCTTCGCATTTAAAAAAGCGATTAGCAGTTAGTAGCTGGTTGAGCTAGCTGCGCCACAGGAAACAAAAGTGTGAATAAACTACTAAAACCAACCTGTCAGCGGGGTTTGTAAAAAAAAAAAAAAATGGAGAAGATTGCTCAAGGTGAGTGAAATCCACTGCTGACAAATCCATCTCTTTGTCAGCATGTTTGACTTGATGTTCACCTCTAACCTCAGATTGCAGCTAATTCTTTTAAAAACCTTCTATTTTGTGAGATCTTGTTTAACTGCATTTAATCTGAGTTGTGTTGGTCCTGCAGATGTAGGTGATATCCAGTCCCGACTGTTAGACCACAGGCCAGTCGTCAGTGCAGAGATCCGCTACTTTGTGAGAGAGTTTGAGGTAGGCTACTTGACATGAAATTATGATGTGACACTGTGGCCTTAACACTGTGACCATCGCCATGGACCCCACACCCACACACACATACATATATACAAGCTGTGTTGTAGCTGACCCAAACTTCAGACAACCCTGTGGGAGGATGTTTTTGCAGAGGTTTGTTTTTGTTTTGCTTTTCATACAACACACACACACACACACACACACACACACACACACACACACACACAGAGTCCCCTCCAAAAGTATTGGAACGGTAAGGCAAATTCCTTTGTTTCTGTTGTTCACTGAAGACATTTGGGTTTAAGATCAAAAGATGAGTATGAGACAAGAGTTCAGAATTTCAGCTTTTATTTCCTGGTATTCACATCTAGATGTGTTAAACAACTCAGGACATATCACCCTTTGTTTGAACCCACCCATTTTTCAAGTGAGCAAAACTATTGGAACATGTGACTGACAGATTTCTTGTTGCCCAGGTGTTGCCTTTTAGGTTGATTGTCCAAACATTAAATAACTCTGCATAACTAGCCTAAGTTTTCATCCTTGGTTCAAAGCTATAAAGACTGCATTTCCTGTTAAAGAGGATAAACCAACATGAAGACGTATAAAAAACACCATTGTAAATCATGGTGAAAGAAATTGAAATTATTATTTTTTTAAATGACAGTCAGTGTTCTACCAGGAGACTGATGTATCAGTGTTCCCACAGATGGGCTTTGTAGCATGTATCAGAATCAGAATCGGCTTTATTGCCAGGTATGTGTACACATAGGAGGAATTTGACTGATTGTACATCGCGCATGATGTGCCAGCCAGTAAACAGGTGGCTGATTAGAGACAGAGTTACTGGGTTATTGCACAGGAATTGTTCCTGACACCGTGAGTCAGAAATCAGCTGTTCATCAGAGTGATGGCTTGTGGGAAGAAACTGTTCCTGAGTCTGTTGGTTTTGGCGTACAGTGCTCTGTAGCGCCTACCAGGGGGGAGAAGCTGGACCAGGTTGTGTCCGGGGCGAGATGGATCTGCAGTGATGTTTCCTGCCCGTTTCCTGACTCTGGAAATCTATAAGTCCTGAATGGAGGGCAGGTTGGCACCAATCTTTTCTGCAGTCCTGAATGTCCGTTGTAGTCTGTCCCTGTCCTTTTTGGTGGCAGATCCCAACCAGACAGTGATGGACATGCAGAGAACAGACTGGATGATGGCTGTGTAGAACTGGATCAGCAGGCTGAGCTTCCTGAGCTGATGCAGGAAGTACATCCTCTGCTGGTCCTTCTTGATGATGGTGCCCATGTTGGGCTCCCACTTTAGGTCCTGGAATATAGTGGATCCCAGAAATATGAAGGATTCCACAGCAGACACAGGGCTATTGAGTATGGTGATGGGGGGCAGAGTGGGGGGCTCCTCCTGAAGTCCACGATCATCTCCACAGTTTTGAGTGTGTTAAGCTCCAGGTTGTTCTGGCCGCACCAGAGAGCCAGCTGATCAACCTCCCATCTGTAGGCTGACTCATCACCGTCCCGGATGAGGCCGATGACCGTTGTGTCGTCAGCGAACTTCAACTTCGTTGCATCGTTATATGTGGTACTTTGAGTTTCTGTAGACTTGCCTTTGCACAATTTATCACAAGTGCAAGTATAGAGTGGTGTACAATATGCTTTTAACAGAGATATCTTTACATCAACCGTATATTACCCGAACTTGTGTAAAGAATATTGGCTTATGCATACATCATCAGTATCTTCATCATCTGTCGTTTGATCTGTGATAAAATGACCACAATATTTTACCTTATTACAGACACTAAGTTTATTGTTAGCTAGTTTAAAGTCAGGATATTTTAAACATCGATCATCTTTATTTCTGCAGATCATGACGACACTCTTATTGGCAATATGTTTGAAATCATGTTCCACACCTACACAGGAAACAATGTAAGGAGCTGCTGAAAACCTGCAAGGTCATCTGTGCACTTTATATGGTTCACTATGAAATTACCAATCATGCACCCAGTATTACAGGCTCTATACTGCCTGGACAGATGACTCCATTGCTAACGCCAAATAAAGTGAGACACTATTGCCCCATTAATAAGGCTGCAAACCATTTTAAAAGTTTAGACTTACTTGTAAGGATGATGTAACTCTTTGCCATGATGTTTGACTCATGGCTACAGTGTCACTTATTACAGATATTTCGACTTTTTATCCTTTAACACTGCTGTCAAGCTGTTTATCAGACACTGACATCAATCTAAGGAAAAAGTCACACCAATTGATGTATCGCTTTCTTGCTACTATTAGAAAAAACATCAACTGTGGACATTAAATCCTGTGAGTGCACGAATGTCATAAGACCCACATCAGAACACCTGCTATGAATACATACAGAGACATGGCTAAACAGAAAAAGAAAGTGTCAGGGGACACACTGCAAACACCAATGTGCCACACATCCACATACCACACTACAGTTTATAGTTTTCATCATTATATTTGAACCATGTAGCCCAATACCTTCACTGCAGATTTCCATATATTGTATTTATTTCCACTATAAGAAATATCATGATGTACTGATTTTTCTGATTGAGAGAATCTGTCTGCTGTTTTTAGTGCAAATATACTTGTTCAGAAATATTCCCAAGCCAAATAAAATCTTTAGTGGAGTGATCAATATACTTTTCAAAGATATAGTATATATATATATATATATATATATTGTCTCTTACTTAATATCAGGTAAATCCAACTCTTTTGTTTGTTTTTTGTGTTTTTGTTGTCATATTGATGGATGCAACATGTTAAGCCCAAGCGCTACACTAAATGACTTAAGAAGCATACATTTTCAGTGTGCAGCAAAGCTAAGCTTTCCTCTGCTGCTTTTTCAGGAAAAACGTGGCCACAGGGAGAGCAGACTGCTGGAGAACCTCGACAAAATGGTGCTGGAAGCCACTGAGCAAATGCAGCCCACAACTTTAGAGGGTGTGAACCAGCAGCTGTCTGATGTCATTAAACGGTGTAAGTCTTCTCTGTAACACTTGAGACTTTTTTTTAAATTGTGCTAGAATTGTGTCATTTCATGCTTGACCTTTTGAATCCCTGTGATGGTATGATGTCAAAGGAAATGCTGTTTTTTATTACGAACAATGCTGATCTTAAAAAAGTGTTATATCTGTGTTGTGTTGTAGTAAATGTAAATCTTGATGGTAAGAATATTTGATTGCTTTTCTCTCACAGTAGAGGCTGCTAATCACATGGCAGACAGAGTCCAGCAGAGGGAGCTAGAGGCACAACAGGTAAAAACTACTCCATGCAAAGGAATCATAGCCTTGAAAAAAAACAGATTGGATTGCTTTGTATAGATACAGCATTACATGTGTAGGCTGAAGGCCAGTGTCCAGGCACCACACACTGCTTAAATGATCAGCATTCTCAATGTAGTGTATGATTGCAAGAGGGTGTGACTGCTAAAGTAGTAAATTTGTGACTGACTTGAAAACTGGCTTAATCTCGCATTTACTGTAATCGACCCCTAAAACCTCTGGTCAAAGTGAAGTATTTGTCTTTTCTGCGAATACAAAGATTGGTGTGAGGCAAAAAATAAAAACTCTCTGCCACCTTTTGTTGTGTGCTCATCTTTTCTTGTCCTTCCAGGGCACCCAGCTGCAAACAAACATGGAGCGTTTGAAAGATGAGTGGGCAGAGTTTCTGAAGGAGCAGCAGAGATTAAAGGAGGAGGTGGACGAGGAGCACGCCAAGGCTGTAGGACAACTGAGCGCTCATTACGCGGAAAAGAAGAAGGAGTTGACCGAGTTTCCAACCCTCTAATCAGTTGGTGCTTGTGAGCACACTGTGTCTTATTACATGAACGCTTGTGTTTGTTATGGCTATGGACGTCTGTTCTGCACGTGCAAAACGTTGGCATAAAACAATGAGGTTTTTTTGCTCCTGCACAACACCCCACATTTTCCAAATCATAAATATGAAAGTGCGATTAACAGTGTGGCATTTTCACAGGCCGTCAAACTGGCAATTTTCTGTCTTTAGCACATGGAATTTTCTCGACACCTAAAAGGTCTGGTACATGTCATTTTTAAACAAGCAATCATTCGATTGTTCCTTGGCCGCGAAGTTTTCAACATTTCAAGATTTTTAATGGACGCCTGCCTGAAGGGTGCCGATGATAAATTTGCATCAGCCTCAAGTTGAAAAGGAACCTGGAGTTTGGCACCAAGGCGAGACATTTGGAGTGCTGAAAGCAAGATCATTAAATGTTGAGCAGGTGTTTTTTAAAGCACAGGTCAAGTGTTGTAGAAACGAGCTCAATCAGAACCGTTTCCAGAACAAAATCATCCCTCACCAGCTCTCCTGTGTTTGGAACATTAACTTCAAGTAAACCGACTATCTGTGAAGTAATTTTCATTATAAAGGGCCTTTTCTTAGTAACAGTTTGCTTTGCCACATCAAATCTGATTTCAGTGACTCTCAAACCCAATTATCCTTTTATTGCTGTTTAAACAGGAATAAAACGTAAACCAGAGTTTGGTCTTCTGGTTTGAATTTCCTTCTGGTCATGTATACATAAAAATGTCAGTGGTTGTCATGCTTTGTGCTTGGAGTGCTCACAATGCACAGAATGATAAACACAAACTCCAAGTGTTCTTTTCCGTTTAGTCTTTTCTGTTTATTAGATGAATTGCCCACATGGCGTATTTTATAGGGTAAATACTCAGTCTTTAAGTTTTTATAACCGCAAGCATGATAATATATAAAAGTTGTAATGTGAACTACAGAAGAAGTGAAATCATGTGTGTGAGTCGTGACCCTTGAGCGTCTCTGACAGAGATGCTAACTCGCATTTTGTTTTCGCTCCCGACAATGGTGTTTTGTTGGACAGGTTAATGGATGGGTGGGCACATTCTTGACACCTAAGCCGTCATGCGTCCCATCTGAAGAAGCAGGTTTGGGCTTCCCCTCATCCATCAGCTGAAGTAAAACAGAGTTTCTGTATGAAAAATAAGAATAAAGCAAAACAAGCCAGCAGTGGAGTCGCCCCACTGTGTGACAACACAGCTGAAGTGAACTTAGTTCTGTATCCCCTTTCACAGAAGCTGCAGCTTTTTTCCGTCAGGCCCGTGCAAAACCACCCTCTGGTTGCTCTGCCTGTGCCTGTGCATACTGTGTGTGTGTTGATGACGGCTGGCGTCAGAGCAGGACACGGTGGTTGGCATGTCATCAGAGATCAGGGAGGGCACTGACATGCCAGCAGATGTACGTCTGTGTGTGTGTGTGTGCGCGCGCATGCCTTCCCTCCGCCTTGGTGGCTGCAGCTGTCCACCGTGGAGACAGCCCATCAACGGCTAACAAGGAGCGACAATACGGAAACGCGGCCCACCTCTGCCAGCAAGGCACCTTTTCATCTGCCCTTATTTATTTTTTGGGTTTTCGGTGGAAAGAAAGAAAAACAGAGTACACGAAAGGTCACTGTTAAAGTCATGAGTGTTAGCTATTCATGAGTAGAGAGTCCTACGCTTACAGTAAATACTCTTTGGGCCTGATAAGTACATTATTTATATCTGTTATAATGAATTTTGACTTTGTCGTGTTGTGTCAGATTTTGAAACAAATTCAAGTCGGCAAAATGTTGGATCATTTTGTGAAGTGATGTAAGTAAGCAAATTGACAGTAAAATGAACACATAGAAGCGGTTCTTCCATGATGTAACAATAGACGGCATAGGTGCACATGTAGTCCTGCTCTTTGCTGGTTCAAATCCACAAAACCAGAATAGGTCTGCCTAAAGGACCAGGTTCAGCGTGGAAAAGCCCCCAGGTTAGAGTAACCACCCACTGCCCGCAATCGCACTACAAAACCATTGCTGTCAATAATAACATGCTCTTTGATAAGTTAAATGCAAGCAATGTGGGATTTAGATCACCGTCTGTTTGCGACCGAGGGATTGCAACAACGACCGGTACAGGCTGAAAAGTAAGTAAAGCCAGAAACCTCATCTGGTCAAGCAATTTTTGAGTGACTGGTATTGATCAACAACCAGTGCCCTATTTAATGGTATAATACAGGCAAACTGTAACATTAAGGGCTAAAGCTACCTTACATGTTTAATTTATCTGGATAGATATCTGTCAAACATTAAGGGAAAACTGTCAAGCATCCCATGTACTCTGCTGGCACAGAAAATGACCAGAGCATACAATTCAGTAAGACGACACCATGTGCAGTGAAGGGTTGAGCACCGGCTTGGATCTCCTGTTATTATCCTCCTCAGCCTGCTGCCTCATGCCTCTGGACCCTCGTTGGTTTGTTTTTTTGTCTCCAGTGTGCATCAGAGAGCAGTGCGTTCTTCCTGTTTTGAAAAGAGAGCAGTGCTCTGGGGCCACGGAGCTGCCGTTCCCTGTGCCAACATAAATGGTAAAGGAAGCAGCGGCACCCAGCTGGAGCCCCATTGGGCAAGGGACAGAGGCAAAGGGTGTGTTGGTTATTGCAGTATGATGCTCTGTCTGAAAATGAGCTTTCCACATCCACTGGAAAGGAATGAAATATATCACAGGGATGAAATGTGCAGATCGCCTTTTAAGACATTTACTAAAAAAACGAATCTGATTTTAGTACTTCATGCTGGATTGAGATCCTAGAGAGAAGTGCTGAAGCTTAGTTTGAATACATAAAAAATTCAGGCATGTTCGAAAGTGCCCAGGTTTAGCAAGCCAACATGTCCCATGGCAGTTCATTTTAAACAATCAGTCTAATCAACACAAAGCACTACTCTGCACTAAATTCTGGCATTCACAAGCACTCCCAACATCTGCCAAATCTTAATATGTCTTCTCTCCGTGTCCACTAACCTCACATGGTGCTAATGCCAGCCAACATCTTACCCAACATTTTCCAACCTCACCATCACTCTAGACAACAATAGGTTGGCTTGAAGAAAGTGGTTTGGTTTTCAGAGACTGAACTGTACAAGCAGGAACAGGCTAAAAGATCATTCCAGCAGGCTTGAAACAATACAAGCTTAGTTATATCAGCCACCAGCAGATTTAAAGTAAATTTGTCCACACCAGGAGCTAAGGACAATTATTATCATCACAGATCTATCCTTTACTAATGGACATCACAGGAGAGAGTTGAAGTTAATGTAACCTGTAGCTCACATCTTGTTCTCCTCCATCAGTGATCCATCTGGGCTTTCACACACAGCTGAGGAGACACAGATTGGACTGAACTGCATCAGCCTGAACAGTTACACACTCATCTGAGAACATGTGGTGTGCAGATATCAATGCAAGTATCTTTCACTCTAATTGTACAGATATAAACTATGTACGGTGTGTTTAATTATTTCTGGCAACCCGCCAAAAAAATTTAGAAATGTAATTTTCGGAATTGGTTAAGAATATGCATTATTTACTGTACGCTGGCCTCAAGAGATAAGATCCACAGCTTTCTGACGGGTCATTGCAGGACTAGGCTGCATTAGTGCTCATAATAATGTGTCCACGTTCTGTATATGTACCCAATTCCATCCAAGTTTCTATCCCCCTGTGATTTGTCCACAGTGCATTCTTGTATACATCCTGTCGAAGGCCATCTGGGTTTTTATGTGTGGATTATCTTTGGCTCCATTATCAGGAGAAACTGTACATGTTTATGAGTGTTAGACAGGCCAAATGCTGCTCATGTTATGGCTTGACATTTACATGTCTATTCACTCTTCTTTACTGCTGTACTGTTTGAAAAAACATAAAATACCGGCGGAGACTAAACTTCCTTGAAGAAACAAATAAAATACACATGACTTCAGAGGACTGCTACAGTTTCTATTAAGCTGACAGCAAACTTGGCCTTACCAGACATTTTCTTTTTTGGGCCTGATCACCTTTCATTTCAGCTGACTGCTGAGAAAAAGCAGGCCGAACAGAAACACAGTTTCACTATTTTGTGTTGGAACAATAGAAAGCGAGGAGGTATTCATTCGCACCCGCTTTCCTGACAGCTTATGAGAATTTTCAACCTCTGCATGCTCAATCTCTTTCTTTTGTGCAGCGTGATGGGCCCCTGTTACTCAATTACTAAGGGGTCCAAAATTAAAATGCCAATGAACAAAAGCACTGCGCTTCCAAGTTAATAATCCGGCATAAAACCACCCCAGGGAGGCGCTGATGGATCATGGGCGGATTGAAATGCAGGTGGTAATATGAATTCTTTGGCTATAGCAAACGTTCTCCCAGTGGATCGCTAAATAAGCGAGGGAGACCTCTCAAAGCTGCAGTAAAACAAATTAAGAAATTGATATTTCTCTGAGGGAAAGTTGCAAGGCATGCTGGAGAGTCTCAGAGCATGGCAGCTTAGAAAATGAGCACTGGGTGGCATATAAAAGCAATCATTGGAAAGAAAAGGGATGGAAATTAAACGTCCCACCTTTCACCATAAATGCCAGCACTCCCTTATTAGCAGGCACTGATATGCTCCCTTGTGAAAGCTAACACTGTAACATGTCAGTTTTTATTCTGTGAACGGAGCCAGTTTCTTAACCAGATGTCTTGATCAGGTTATCTCTGTTTGAAAGACTCCATTGCCATCTTTTGTGCAACAGAGGTCTAATTAGCTGAACTGTACGTCTGTTCAGTTTCATTAGACAGTCTTGCTAATATAACTGCTCAGTGTTCCTGCCAGGTCCAAGAAACACAGATAAGAGTCCAGCAACAACAAACACCTTCCTCACTCAATCACAGGGCAAACAATAGCCAGAGAGGACGTGGAGAACGGGCTGTCATCGGCCAGTGGCTACCAGCAGCAACAAAGCTTGTTGTCGTCTAGATTCCTGAACCGTAGAGGAATGTCTGGCTTCACTGCCAACCACATACCTTCTCAGTGGCTTTGACTTTCCCTGTTTTCTGTACCAGGCAGGTATTTACCTGATGCTATCTCTCTGTGGTTTCAACGATGCTAAACCCTAACTATAGAACATAATTTCTTACAGCATCCAAATAGCAACAACATTTGCTCATATAAATAAGGTAAACTTTCCCAAAATGTACTTAAACCAACAATAACTTTTGAAGCCGATATGAAGTAATGTTAGCATTCATTTGGAGTCATGTCCACCCAACAAGTCCAATATCATCTCTCTTTTAACTCTGTTGTTGTTCTTCACCAATTCCTGAGGGAAATATCTGGCTTTTTAGCAACTATATGCTCTCCCATGTTTACAAGCTAGTCTTTGGTGCTGGAGAGGAAGCGTACAGTGGGCTTTTAGAGCTTTTTTCAACAAAAAATCGAGTTGTGGCTGGAAATGTTGCTATGAGAGTGGAGAGATTTTTACCAAATCAGTAATGGCCCTTTTCAACCACATGGTACCAGCTGGACACGCCTCAAATCTACTCACCATTTTTGGTTTTTCATTGGGGAAAAGTTGTACCTGGTACCTGCTACCTGGTACCCTCTGGTCCTACAGTCACACAAACCACAGCCAACGCAGCAGACGACTCCAGCAACAACGGCAGAGGAAACCAAAGCAAAGATTTTCGTACTGTTATTCTGTCT